TCTATTGACTAGAATGTTTGTATAGATCGTTTCTACGTTCATAAATGGTTGTTTGGTTGAGTTTTGTGTTCGACATGCTTGAAGAACCAAGAATCAAAAACCTTGGAATTAATGTTAAAACTATGAATAAATGATACCAAAATGATATATGAACTTTGGAGAACATTTATATATAGTTTAATTGAAGTTTGGTGACTGAAAAATGATATTTTTGAAAATGGACCGGAGGAAGAAGACGATGAACAGTAGCAAATAATTAATTAATTCATCCCGATTAATTGATTATTCCGCTGAAGCATTTGAAGTCAGAAGTGAATAATCGATTATTTGTAGTGATAAGTGATTAATCAATTAATTCATCCTGATTAATCGATTAATTAATTGTTCCGCTGAAGCATTTGAAGTCAGAAGTGATTAATTAATTAAGGACATTGTTGACAAATGTTTAAAATCAATATAAGTGTTGAATATTGATTGTTGAATATTAAATACTAATTATTGAATGATTAAACTGAATGTTATGTGCATGATATCAAATGAGTTGATTATGAATTTAGATTCAGTTTATATGGATGTTCGATGCATTAGATATGCTTACTCAGCTTCAACGCTGAGCGTGTAGTATGTTTTATTTGCACACGCAGGTAAATAGAAAGAATGATGTGATGTGATTCTGGAGCCAGATGGGGCGAGATAGTCGGGATGGATGTGATGATTTTGAATTGATTGACATAAATTAATGAAGTTTGTGATTGTGATTTGTTAAGCTTCCGCAATATTGAAAACTCCTTACTGTTTATGTTATAAAAAATATTATTGTGATAAATAAAAGTGTTTGAAATGTTTTAAATTTTTACGATTACCAAGTTAATACTTTAGTCTGAAAGGGGCTGCAGACCTGGACGGATTATGGTGTTACAATTTGGTATCGGAGCAAATGGTTTTAAACCCGATCTTCGGATAAAAATTTGGATTTTAAAAAAATTATATATTATATAAGTTTCGGCTATAAAAAACAAAATATTGTTGGTCACATCAACGATTCTCCCATCCCTCTGCTCTAGGAAAGGTAATGAGAATTTATTTAGTAAATATTCACTGTGTTAAAATTCCAATTAGATAACAATTGTTAGCATTGAAATCGTATTGAGCATAGACTCAAGTCGAATTTTTGTACTCGGCATGAGACGAAATAAATGTTCTTCTAACTTGCAGTGGTCGTGCAGCTTAAAACAATGTTTATGGCTAACTTATAATGTTCATGGACAATAATATTTCAACACAAATACATTTATTTGTTCATTTTCATGGTACATTCTGATGTTAAAAATTAATGTTTTTCTAACTTGCAGTGGTCGTGCAGCTTAGAATAATGTTTATGGCTAACTTATAATGTTCATGGACAATAATATTTCAACACAAATACAACTTGGATTAAATAAGAAACCTTACAGATGCAACTCTAAGTCTAATCTCTCGGGATTTGCAAATAAAAACGAAAAATGTATGATTCTCTGATCCGTTACCAACTTATCGCATCGCGAATGACTAAACTAAAATTTTATTTGCACCGTAAAACGAGACGACCCAGAAGAAACGATTAGTGTTGATTTTACGAACAACATCTGTGAATGCGGTGATGAAATTCCTCAAGTGGACTCCACTCGATCCGATCATTGATTCAGAAGGGAACATTTAGAATCATTAAACTCTATTATCTAAAGTATTCCATGCTATTGTCTCACCCATTAAGACACAGTATGTGATTACAATATGTGACTCGAAATCATCCGTTAAATGATAGTTATTTGTAAAACCTCGTTGAAATACTAGACATGGAAATTGACATTATCCTTAGTATGAATTGGCTGACTAAACGTAGTTGCTGTTGACAAATGTAGACGAAGAATTCTTCAACTGAAGACCGATGATGGTAACCTCATAGAGGTGAAGGAAAAGGTGGTTTCTAAATTGGCCAAGTTCATCTCGAATATACACACAAAAACGTCTCAACCATAAAAAGTGTGAAGTCTAGTTGTGTGATACGCGAAAGTAAACCTCTGAACTGAAGGATATACAAAAAGTATGTCACCTCTCTGATATGAATTTCCTAATATTTCATCATTCTGAGAAATTGAATTCTCTATCGATCTTGTTCCTAAAAAGGACTATAAATTCATAACTCCATATTGAATGTCTTTTCGTTAAGATTGAAAATTCACGTTAAAAATTGTTGTGTTGATTACACACTAGAAACATCCCACTTGATCAATTTTGAAAAGATTGAATTCCATTGTTTGTATCAAGGTATTGAACCGTGAAAAACCTGTCTTAACTCACGATTCTCCATTGAAACCAAAAGATGCATTACGATACCGATCTTCAAAAACTACACTCTCTGAACTACGCGACTCGATAATAATGGTAAAAGTACCTGACTTGAACATTATGTTGAACCTCTCTTTGTGAACTACAAAACAATTGATGCAATTACATTATATTTGAAGATTATTATCAATGATCTTGAATGATCAAGAAACTCTATTATGACCTAGCAATGGAGCGTATATGCCACAACCAAAAGAAGAAATGACAAACCAAGCTAAACCATTAAAATCAAAATCTCGAACAAAACCTATATACGATGTTGGTGTAAGAACAAGTAAGATTCCTTACTCTATGAAGTCGTGAATTGAATCACGTGCTGAGGACATTCTATTCTTCCCTCGAAACGAGATTAACCATAGTATTACAATCGAACCTGTCACTATCATGAACATATCTTGATATTACAATCGAATACAACGGAATAAATACGAGACGATACTCAAACGTCATCACCTATGAACATGAATTGATACATAGACTCATTAATGGTAATGAGAACTACCACGAAGATGAACGAAGAAAACGTTTCAACGTAAGATTGTTGATGAAAGATTATTGTACAACCAATCGACAGTATTTCCTCCTGAATAATAATAAGTCCCACAACTTGAAAATCCTGAACCAATAAAAGCCATTTGATGTTATTTATGAGTCATTGCTGAACTATGTGAACTATGTGAAGATGTCTTGAGTGACTTGAAAGGTTACGCTACAACGTAGGAATTGAAATAACTCCTAATCCCTAACTATACCTACCGTGAATGTGATGATTCAGAACTACAAAGGCTATTGAAGAACTTTCAACCAAAGAAAGAATATTGTTGACCAATGACGTACAATCGAGATTTGTGAATAAACGAAGTTATATGCAAAAATGTCAAGTATGCTGCAAAATACGATGTTATACCCTAAAATTATTAATGACTAATTATTCAATTAATCAAATTTGTTTTGATTAAAATAAATTATTGTTGGGCTTTGGGCCAAATTGAAATATGTTTTGATATCGAATATCACTGTAACACCCCAATCCGTATAACCCGGAATTACACGAATTAAGGTGAAACGAGAATTAAATAAAAATTTCGCTTGACATTTGAAAATGACAATTTCTTATAAATATTAAAATTTACAGACTCTGGATCGCGACCCATTTAAAAATATTTTCAGAGTAATGCGGAAGTACAATAATAATCAATCATGACACATTTAAAATCTGATGACCAAACATTTGCCTGCCATCCTCCCATCTCCTCTGACTCAATGCGCTCCGGGAGTGGTTCCGTCATTGTCTTCTTATTACCTGCGTGTAGTCAACGAAAAATACAAACTACACGCTCAGCGAAACCGCTGAGTGGTACCACGCTAGAATTGTAGAATAATTCACAGACATATACATATACATATATATACATCCGCAAAGTGTATAATAATGTTCATGATATGGCACATTATGTCATATGATCAATTTGATGATTCATGATGATAAATATTTACTGATAATTACATGATGGCACATTTATTCAATTTGATTGTTCTTGATGATGATTACATGATACCTATGTAATCAATATAATTATTCTTGATGATGATTACATGAAACCTATGTAATCAATATAATCATTCTTATGAGATTCGCCCAGATGTACGACGAACTCACGCCACCTTAGTCTCACGAATGAGGTGAGACTAGAAAAATAGGGGTGGTACTCGAAAGCCTGAATACCATGTACGTACACTAAGCCCGGTCAGTGATGTCGGATTGCTAAGTCCCGCACAAGCACGCTATAAGAGACGCACTAGGCATGATCTCTTACGCATGCATATGATGTGTTATGCTTCAATATTGATGATGAAATGAATCAGATAATATGAACAATTTGTAAACAATATGAATATGTAATCATACATTAATTTATTTGGGTGAAACATGATAAAAATATCATTTAAATAAGCTACGGGGCTCGGAACGGTCCACTGTTTGACATGGAAGTCGACCATGATCTTCATTTCGTCGGTTTCCGGAACGCCGTGACGGTCGACCGCGGTTGACCGACGGTCGACCGTTGTTGACTGGCTGCGGATGGCGGACTTCGGCTGGGCTGGCGGCGGTCGACCGTTTGGCTGACAGTCGTGGTCCGTTTCGATGTTTAACGCGACGGTCGACCGTTTGCGTCGACCGTTTGGGTCTGCGAATCAGTGTCCAAAATACTTCTTTAAGTCTTTTAAACACCTTTAATTGAAATATACATATTATTGGGTCGATTCCCAAAGTTTATATTTACTTATGTGTATATTAACTTTATGGATTTGGTGTATTTTGGTCTTAACATATAGATAACTTATATTTGCATCACACACACAGATATATATATATATATATATATATATATATATATATATATATATATATATATATATATATATATAAACTTTATGGATTTGGTGTATTTTGGTCTTAACATATAGATGACTAATATATGCATCACATATATATATTTTGGGATGATTTAAACATATGGATTAACATATATGTTCATGTACGTATGTGATGAATGATTCGACAAGTCTAACGCAAAGGTATAGACCTGGAAATCATCGGCCGAAACCTTACGGGTGAGCGGGAGTGGAAACAACCTCGAAATTCACCAACTTTGTCATTCTCGTCACAATTGGACAGCCTGCGGTATTTTGGGCATATCTCCATCGTTTCTTCACGGAATTGCAAACCGTTTGATTCTGAAGTCAAGGGAAAGTTGTTGTCCAGAATTTTGGATACTCTGGTGAACAACGGTTCCGACGATTAACTCATTAACTTCAATATTCCAACACCGAACCTCCTCTACGATACCTTCCGGATGTTCGTAGAAGTTGATGCTGCGTTTGGAACTCATGATTTTGGATACTTGGATGGTTTCTTCTTGTTTCTCCTTCTTCCTTTAACCATCTATGGAGGATGGGCTGTGTTTTCTTCTCCCTTGAAGCTGCCGACAGAGACCAAATAATGGAGAGAGAGAGATGAATGTTGTGTGAGGAAGAGTTTGACAAAGTGGTAAAACTTTGGGAGAATTATATAATGGGTTTTGGCTTTTGTGGTTGATGAGTGGAAATTGATGAGTGGGAAAGATTTTAGTATGTTTAGGGAATCCTCAAAGTGGCTGATCGGATGGGTAGAGATTTAGGAAAATTAAGTTTGGCGTTTTGTCCAAACTGAGTAGTTTACCTCAAACGGTACGCGCTTTTTCGCCCAAAATGCTCCGAATTGAAAACGGATTGTATTTTTGGAATGAGACTGTCAAAACTAGAATTTTGACGTAATCAAAATATTTTTCTGAGAACTTTTATTTTTTTCTCAGTGTTCGGGTCTGTCTCAGTTATAAATTAATTTAATAATATGAATGAGATAAAAATATATGAATTAAATCCAAATGATTAATATGATGTTATCAAGTGTCAAAAATTAAGATTTTTATATATATATATATATATATATATATATATATATATATAAAATTAATTACTAACTAATATTATTTTGTCCAATATATTTATGAACAACTTTATTTCACCCAGAAATAATATTTCCAAGTTTTATAAAGTTCATTTTTGAGTTTTCAATATTTATTTAAGATTTATTGGAATTAAATCTAAACAAATACAATTAACTCAAAAATTGGAAATAAACAATTTCAAAAATTACAATATAATTTTATCAACCATAAAATGATATTTTATGTCCAATAAAAATATATTCACAATTTCGAAATATATATTTTCGAAATTCCCAAATATATTTATAAAAATATATTATCGGTACAAATAAATAATGAATATTTATTTTAATGATTTATTTAAGTCAAATGTTTATTCCAAGTCTAAATAAATCATTTTACTAATTTTCGAGATTAACAAACAGTTACCAAGTTAAAAATAATTTCCAACCCAAAAAGTTCTACAAAAACTATAGTTTTGTACGTTGGCTCTGATACCACTGAAAGGTAACCACGGTTGGGAGGGCAGCGGAAATACAAAATTTAATCTCCTAATAGTGATTACTTGCCCAAGAACACGTATTAAAACTATAGCTAGAGATAGAAACTTATACCTTCTCCGGTTAGCGGTAATGACGTTGAATCGGGGAAAGGCATTGAATGAGCAAACGTAGCCGTTCAAGCATCCGGTCTCTAACTTTGACACACGAACAATCTCCAGAGTCTACTATAATCTTTATGCTAGTAAAGATTATAATAGTATATTTAGTATAAAGATTTAAGAGGGATAATAATAATCTTGTATATTAAATAGTAGAAAATATATCAATAATATTTAAGAAAATATTATAGTATTTTCTACACCAAAATGATATTAAAGTGGAGTACCAAAATCTCACTCTCTCTCTCTCTTGATTTCTCCAATTCTTTAAATTGGTCAAAGTGTGTGACCCATATAGGCACTTATAAAACTGGCCACAGTATTGACTTTACACCAATACTATAAGTAATAAGCGGTATCTAGCAACACATTATTACCCCCAGATTATAAGTTCATACGTTTGCTCCGTCAAAACCTTTCTACGACTAAGACTTTGTATAACGTAGATCCTTTTGTCCCAATGTCTTAACTTAGTGCAAGGGATATATAAAATAGCCAACTTGTAGCCATTAAGTTATTTACTGATTAACAAGTCAGACTGATGAGAACAGATGTCTAAACTCATCTCAGCATGGCCATGCATTTCCTCAGTCATACTTATCAGTGGCCCCCTACAAGACATTATTCTGCTTAAATAGCAGTTACAAATTCTTTGTACGTAATCTACTTCTTCGAATACGTGCAGCGGCATGCCCAATACAAAGCCTGTGTACCATCCTTATTTCATACTCCCTCCGTCCCAAAAAGAATGGGACGGTTTGACTTTTTGGGAAATTAAGGAAGGGATATTTTGGTATTGACTTTCCAAAAATACCCTTGATGTGATGGGTAAAAGTAGGATGTGATGGGTATATTATTAGGAAAAAGGTATGATGTGATAGGTAGGGTATGAAAAAGTAAGGGGTAAAAGTGGTTTTTAATAGAAATGTAACGGACTTTACGGGACGCAGTTTTTTCTAAACGTAACAAACTTTTTGGGACGGAGGGAGTACGACTTAGGACAATGAATCAAAGCATACGGGTTCACGCATTCGAAGAGCGTAATACTTCAAGTCTAAGGATCGTTATACCAATAGTCCCATTAAGGACGCTTAGAGCATAGACTAAAAGTCTAGGCAATGTCCTTAAGGTGGGTCAGGTCTGGCATCCTATTATTAACGATAATATCTGCCCGAGAGTAGATGCGAACACTCCGTCATTGACCAAGAGACTAGGTCAGACATCTAACTCTCACTAGTCTCACATGCACTAACGATATCCCACTCTCGTTAATGCTTCGACTATAGACCGTTTAGAATTATACTAAGTGACAAGATGTTAGTCTCAACATCAGAAGACTCATTCTGATAAACATCTTATAATATAATTCTAGGAATGCAATTAATAGTTTACATTAGCATGAGATGTTTGTAAACTTATTGCATCTGCCTTTACATGATAGAAAATATCTAAGATATTATAACAGCAGTTGGCCATAAGGGCACCAACTCCAACAACATATAGCCCTGGTTTTCTTCACTAGGCATAGGCATTACACTTAAAACCAATCACACTACCAACGTGCACCTAACACCCAAGGACCCAAAATGGCTTGGGTACCTAAATCTTTCTGAATTGATTTGTATGTGTGCTTGAAGGCATCAAGCGTACTTTGGTACCTTGATAGCAAATGCTCCAAGTACATGACCGGAGATGCATCTAATTTCTTACCAATCAAACCAACTAAAGGAGGAAATGTTGTCTTTGGAGACAATAGCAAAGGAAAAATAATCGGCATTTGTTCGATTGGTAAAAACGAAACCTCCTCTATTGATAATGTGTAATTACTTAAAGGTCATAAGCATACTCACTTGAGCATAAGTCGATTGTGTGACAAGAGAAATCATGTAACCTTTGATTCTAAATCATGTGTTGTAAAACGTCTTAGTGATCATAAGATCATTCTACGTGGTGATAGAATCGATAATATTTGTTAACCTTGATGATGATCCATCCAACTTTGCAAAATGTCTCATGAGTAAAGAGGACGATATATGTCTACGGCATCGTAGAGTAGCTCATGTCAACATGAACCTCTTAAATAAATTAGTTTCAAAAGAACTAGTAGTTAGCCTCCCAAAACTTAAGTTTGAGAAGGATACCATTTGTGATTCATGTCAAAAAGGCAAGAAATTAAGGACTTCATTTAAATCGAAAAATGTTGTGTCTACAACAAGGCCCCTACAACTTTTGCACATGGATCTCTTTGGACCATCAAGAACAAAAAACTTTGGTGGCGACTATTTTGCCTTTGTGATTGTTGATGACTACTCTCAATACATGGACATTATTTCTTATCATAAAAGTGAGGGATTTCATCATTTCAAAAATTTTCTTAAAAAGGTCCAAAATGAAAAGGGTTTAACAATAGTAGCCATAAGAAGCGATCATGGTGGAGAGTTCAAACGAGATCTGTTTTCCGAGTTTTGTGACGAACTTGGCATCGAGCATAACTTCTTCGCTCCACGTACACCACAACAAAATGGCATGGTGGATCGTAAAAATCGATGTCTCGAGGAGATGGCTAGAACTATGCTAGATGAAGCAAAATTCCTAAGTATTTTTGGGCGGATGCCGTGAGTACAGCGAGCTACATGTTAAACCAAGCCGTCATTAGACCGATACTCATGAAAACCCCATATGAACTATACAAAGGAAGAAAGCTAAACCTCTCCCATCTTCAAGTCTTTGGTTGCAAATGTTTTGTTAACAATAATGGGAAAGATAACTTGGGTAAATTTGATGCAAAGTCGAATGAAGGAATTTTCCTTGATTGTTCATTGCGTAGTAAGGCTTATAGAGTCTTCAACAAACGCACTTTAACTGTTGAGGAATCACCTCACGTTGTTTTTGCCGAAAATAATGCTCGCTTAGCAAGAAAGGACTATTGTGATGATCTTGAAGATTCATTGGAGAAAATTTATCTCAACGACAATAAAGAAGGAGAAAGCCCAAAGGAAGCACAAAATAAAGAGGTAGAGCCCCCTATGGATGAGGAACAATCACAAGAGGAAGAAATGCAAATGCCAATGGTTGGAGAACTTCCAAGAACCATCCTCTTGACAAGGTAATCGTTTACATCAACCGATGGGTAAGTACTCGTAACTCTCTTAGGGACACCATAGGACACATGGCTTTTGTTTCTCAAATTGAACCTACAACTATTTTGAAAGCAATTGATGATGAGATTTGGACCTTGGCAATGCAAGAGGAGCTTAACCAATTCAAACGAAATGACTTTTAGGAATTGGTGCCAAGACCCAATGATCATACCATAATTGGTACGAAATGGGTGTTCTGTAATAAACTTGATGTGAACAGAATAATAACTAGAAACAAATCTAGTCTTGTAGCTAAAGGCTACAATCAAGAAGAAAGCATTGATTTTGAAGAAACTTACGCACTGTTAGCACGTTTAGAAGCTATTCGTTTATTACTTGCATTTGCTTCATCTATGAATTTTACACTATACCAAATGGACATTAACAGTGCCTTCCTCAATGGTTTTATCCAAGAGGAAGTGTATGTTGATCAACCCTCGGACTTTGAGGACTTTGAGCACCCGAACTATGTCTTCAAACTCAAGAAAGCACTCTATGGTCTCAAACAAGCACCTCGTGCTTGGTATGAACGTTTGAGTAAATTTCTTTTGGACAACGGGTTCAAAAGAGGGAAAGTTGACACTACGCTTTTTATCAAGAATAAAAACAATCACATTCTCTTGGTACAAGTTTACGTAGATCACATTATATTCGGTGCTACTAACGAATCTTTGTGCAAGGAATTTTCAATAATGATGACGAATGATTTTGAGATGTCCATGATGGGAGAACTCAATTTCTTTTTGGGCTTACAACAAGTTAAACAAATGAAAGAAGGAACTTTCATTTCTCAATCGAAGTATTGTAAGGAATTCCTCAAAAGATTCGAAATGGACAACACCAAAGTAATGGCTACGCCAATGAGCACTGCCAAACATTTGGACAAAGATGAAAACGGTAAGGAAGTAGACATAAATAAGTATGGAGGTATGATCGGATTCCTTCTTTATCTTACCGCTAGTAGACCCGATATCATGTTTAGCATTTGTTTATACACAAGGTATCAATCTTGTCCGAACGAATCGCACTTAACTGCGGTGAAACAAATAATGAAATACCTTGTTGGAACAATAAACGTTGGACTATGGTACCCCAAAGGGTCTTCTTGTCAACTCATTGGATATTCCGACTCGGACTTTGCCACTTGCAAATTAGACCGCAAAAGCACGAGTGGGACGTGTCACTTGATTGGTAGTTCGTTAGTCTCATGTTTTAGTCAGTGTTGCGTTATCCACAACCGTACCAAAGCGAAATACATTGCCGCCGGGAGTTGTTGTGCTCAAATCCTTTAGATGAAGCAACAACTTGTGGATTATGGCCTTAGTATCGATCATGTCCCTCTTCGATGCGATAATACTAGTGCCATATGCTTGATGAAGAAATCCCGTACTTCATTCAAGAACGAAACACATTGACATTAGGCATCATTTCATAGGAGATCATGTTCTCAAAAGTGATGTCGAAATTGAGTTCGTGGAAACGAAGTCTTAATTAATCGACATTTTCACAAAATCTTTAGAGAAAGAGTCATTTTTCCACATTCGTAACGAACTCGGAATACTTGATTCCAAAATGATCTAAGTTGAGCATTAATATATTATTGATCTCTTACTAACTTGAGCATCGAAGACATTTTAATTTTTTTGCAGGTCTTTTAGGCTTGAAATGGGGCTAAAGTCAGGGGGAATGTGATAATCGATTATCAACCACATGATAATCAAACTTGCAGGAGTTGGATTCGGTCAATTGAAAAAGCAAATAATCAATTATGATAATTTGGATAATCGACTATCACAAGGAGCAAGACTTTTCAGTTTTCCAGAAGAAAAGACAGATAATCCATTATCAACATATGATAATCGACTATCCAAGGCTGCAGGTCTTTCAGTAGAAAGGATGATAATCGATTATCAGTAACGAGAATCGATTATCTTCAGTAGATTTTCAAAAATATGACTGTTTTCTAGCCATTGCTGGAGCATTTATCACACCTTTTGAAGCACCAACGGCTCTCCACTCCCTCTCCACTATAAATTGGTGATATCCCTTCATTCTCTACTCACTCTAAGCCTTACTTTCTTATATATTCACCATATTATTCAAGTTTTTGCATTTTCTTGCATTCTTCTCCTATTTCTCTCCAAATGGTAAAGGGAAACAAGAAGCGGAGGCAACTCGGTTCGCTGAGAAGTTCAAACATCAGGAGATTCTTCCTCCCCGCTTCTCCACTGCTCGTTTTCTTCAAGGGAGTGTTCCTCGAGATGCACCAGATATTCTCAGGCAAGGGGGTTTTTTTGAACTCCTCTATATCAAGAAGACGCACTACCAACTTTTTCTCGTTCGAGCCTTCACTCGAACTTGAAGAAGGATGAGGATGGGGCGCTTCTCTCCAATGTCAACAGCGTCCACATCTATTTTAGTGAGGAAAAGATGCAAATCCTGACTGGGCTACATCGTGATGGCAAAGATCTCGACCACTACATTGGTGAAGGAGGGGCTCGTTTCAACGAGGCCGCTCTATTGGAGGAAATCGGCATTGGGAATTTCATCCATACACCCACGCATCGCCGTCCAATGATCACTTCCATGAATTAATATGCATCAATTCATTTTCTATGTCTTGACACGGATTCTCAAGCCCCGGATGTACAATCACACCACGCTCGCTCAAGAGAACACCAAGACGCTCCATGCGATCATTCACAATTGGTGCAAGTTTGTGATGACTCAAATATTTGGCGCCATCACCAACGACAAGCCTCTCCCCTACGCTCTCCTTGTCATGGCCATCCTTGATGAGTACAACATGAAGACGGATGTTGGGCCAAAACAAAAGGGAACCAAATATTGGGAGATCGACGAATCTTCTTTCCACTCGGGCATCGAAGATGTTCCCTTTCCTCCATCACGTCCTTGCCGAAAAGCTCTTGCACCTTCATTAAACCTTGAGTCTCTTTCAGAGTAAATGGCTGCCTCTCACCCGGATTGATTCATATGTCAACCGGACGGCTCAAAGTGTGGATACATTAAGCTGAGAGCTTCATGCTTATTTCGACTTCGTCAATTACCCATACGCTTAACGCGTTCCATACAACAACCCTGCAAACTTTGGATTTGAGGGTCAATCAAGTGGGTTGAACGAAACCATCGATGTTGAAGATGACAAAGAGGACGATGAAGACAAAGAGAGTGATGAAGACGAAGAGGATGAAGGCGACAGCGATGGAGAAGAAGAACAAGAGGAAGCTCAGGATGATTCATGCTCCCAGGACTTTTAGAGCTCTGGCTCATTTTCTTTTCTCTACTTATCTTATGTTATGTTTTTTTTAATATTTTCATAGTGTACTCCGCATTTCCCTTCAATAAATAAAATCTTTATGTTTTTAAAATCTTTTTGTTAATGTCAAAAGAGGGAAGATAAGGGCTATGCATATATTAAGGGAAAATTATTTCTCAAAAAGATGAAAAACATATGTATATCCCCGTCTTGTTTGCCATTATCAAAAAGGGAGAAATTGTTGGAACACAGTGCGTTGAACTAAAGTCGTGTTCGTTTTTTACAGGTTTTGATCATTGTCAAACTGATGTGGATATGAAGAGTTCTGTTGAATAACTCAAGGAGTGAAGTGAGGCATCGCACAAGACCAAGAGATTCAAGAACAAGATCAAGATTTGAAGATTTAGTTGGCTCGGTTTTATTGTGATAAAAAACCGACAATCCAATCAAGTCTTAGTTCTCAAAAGTCAAAATATTTTTTTTTTAAAATCATGAAACCTTTTTTATGCATCAAATAAATATTTTTTGTAAGTATTTCTAAGTTTCCAAAACCCCTGGTCTTTGCCCAAACCAAAACTACTACGTTCGGTGTTAGGCGTTTGGCGTTCGGTGTTCGATTTTCGGCGTCCGAACCAACCAAGTGGTTTTCAATATTTTATACTTGGTCTTTACTTCTGGGCATATTTAATAGGTTCCCAAGCAATCGTTTTATAAAAACCACTTGTGTATGTTGGTCATTGTTCTAAGCACGTGAAAAACGCTCAAGTGGTCAACACGTGACTTACAACCTTGAAGACTTGGTTTTTGATAAACAAGTCTTGTTCTTGAGTGTTTAAGTATTTTTATACACTTGAAGGGAGGTTTGTTCCTTGTTGTAGTTTGAAGGAAGTTTTCGTTCTTTTGTGTGAAGTCTTGGAGTGCGGTATCTCCGAGCAACTTGCTTTGAGGCTCGTGTGACTCGAGTTCTCAAGTTGTATCGGTTTGTTGAGCACCTTTAAGCTTAACGAAGTGAGAAAGACTTTCGAGAGTGTCTCTCAAGAGACTGGATTAGCCATAAGTTGTGGTGAACCAGTATAAAATACGATGTGCTCCTTACACTCTTTACTTTCTTTCACTTCATTTCAAATTCCTGCAATTTTTTTAAACGCTATTCACCCCCTCTAGCGTTGGGCTTTTATTCTAAACACCCCCTGTGGTTATGTGCACCATTAGCCCATTACCCCTCATGGTTTCAAAACTAACGTTGTTGCCCCCCATGATCCTGATATTGTTACGTCAATGTCGCTCTGAACAAAAATATTCATCAAATATTGAGTGAATAACTTTGCTGCCCTATATGGTTTGGGAAATCGGCACCCCCTCTCCTTTTTCTCTATTGTTTTTATTTTTTCTTTTTTTCATAAAGAGAAGAAAAACGTTTGTGTGCAAGATAATGAAAAATTGTTTTTTCAAACCCTACATTTCTAAAAAAGTTTTAAAAAAATATAAAAAGGTTTGTGTTTGGAATAAAAAATTTAACATGTAGGAGCCAATTTACTGTTTGTACCAATTTCCAAAACCATAAGGAGCAGTGGAGCTATTTTTATAATATTTGGAAGATATTTTAGTCTAGATGGGCATTGACATAACAATATCAGAACCATGAGAGGTAACGACCTATGTTTTGAAATCATAGGGATTAGCAGCGCACATTTACTAAACCAAGGAGATCATGATGCAATAAACTCAATTAATTAATAATATAAACAACTCTATGAATTAATCATGAATAATAAATTTTCTAATAATCAATCCAAATACTAAATAAGAAATGAAATTAAATTGGTTAGATCCTAATTTTAAATCCTAACCCAAGTCACAATACCAATTCATAATCTCGAATATCATACTCAATAACATCGTAACAACACATAAATTAATGAGAAATTTACCTAAATAGGACTAAAACAAAATGACTTTCTCAATACAAAACCATATGTTATTATTTCCTAATGTAGGACTTTTGGTTATTATCAATTAATCATTATTGAACTAAATGTCCATCATTACTGGATATTATTTCTCCTTCTAAACATTATTAAGTCATACTTAATGAATAAAAAAATTTTAAGTCCTACATTGGAAAATGACTTGTGTTTTAGTCTTATTTAGTGCAAATTTCACTAAATTTATCCAAGTCATACTAATCATCAACAACATTTAATGTAAAAAAAATGACATTTTAGAAACGAGGAGTCCAATAATACAAAGAAGAAAATGTTAACTTACAATGCTCCAACGGCCTTAGAAATTGATTCTTGATGATGAAAAATAATTAACACAAGATGAAGAATCAAGGGGGGCGGGGGGAGGGGGGGATTTCGCATTGATGATGAAAAATAATTAACACAATTTTTCATGATTAATTCATAGAGTTATTTTTCATCATAACTTAGAATTATTCATTATTAATTCATAGAGTTGTTTATATTAACTTAGTACAATTTTTTAGGAAAAAAGGGGGGCGGGGGGAGGGGGGAACTTAACTTCGAAATGACTTGGGAAAGAAGTGGAGTTCACTGCAAATTAGGACACCCAAGCGGTACATGGATTTTAACCTAAAATCCAAGACTCAACATTCAGCAAGCACAATGGAACACAGATTTCCCGAAGCACTTTGCTTTGGTTGCTCTTTTTCTAACACCAGAATCATGAGAAGGTTTTGGACTGTGAGGCGGTGTCTGTATTCTGTCCATTACATTGATCCTAGGTGCTTCCATAGCAGCTTGGGGCATTGATAGAGCCCACTGCATTCCCCAAATAGAAAGCGGCCTCATATACGCCAAAGACCGAAAGTGGCCATCCATAGTCCATGCTTCTGGAGTTTGAAACGAGTATCTGCAAGAGAAAAGAGCATGCATGACAATTGGAGTATCTAATTACTTCTATTTGGACAGTGGATTCATTTCAATATTTCGTAAACGTAGATCAACCATATCAGAAACCCCCACCTCATGCTAGTAATGTTGAAAGGTTTATGCCTGTTCATCTAAAGTGATAAGTGATAACTTTATGAAAAGAGAACTAACATGTCTGACTCACCAAAAAATGACTCCATATCTTTTTGAAGTGGTTTCTTGATATGAAGGCATAACAGCCTCATTTAGAAGTTCTGTCTATTTTGTACTTTTGTTCCCAAAAAAATGTCCTAGAAAAAACAATCTATATGTACATTAATGGACTAATGGCGGTCAGAAATGAAGACTTTCTTAGTTCTCCACCAAATTAGCTATCTAAACTAGTTTGGCATGTGCGCTTCAGCATTATAAGGAAGGTACTTTAATATTATGCTTAGCAAAGGGTAGGTAGCAATTGCTTTTACTGAGGATTTGGAAGGAAAAAAATGAAAGAACAAAAAACACTGAAGATTTTAGGAAAAAAAGACGCTTACCCAAAGCCCTCTTCAGACCAGCCTGCAATAAATATCCCTTCAGCAGTTGCAAACGCCTGCTCCTCCATCCCAGCAAGAATCATGGTGGCAGCAACACTATAGGTGACCCCAGCCCAAATTTCACGGGATTGCATGCAAGTCTCATCCACCTTCCCATTAGGGTGCATTCCATTCACTGCACCCATCCTCCCACTTTGAACTTTCATGACATTGAAATCATATATTTTTTGAAGGGTGCTTTGGATTTTTACATTGTCAAAAAGATCAGGTAAACCTGAAGATGCGATGTACCACTGTCCTGCTAGTTGATCGGCTTGGATTGATTTACTGTTACTGCTTGACCCACTGTCATAGTTAAAGTAAGAGCCATTCCACAGCTTTCTTTCAAAGACTGACTTGGATTTCACCAATTTCCCTTTGCATACCTCTGCAAAAGCAATGTCGCCAAGTTGCAAGGCCATTGATGCAGCAGCTTGAAGTGCAGCAAGCCATAAGCAACCACAGTAAGCACTTATTCCATGAACCGTCCAAGCATCATAGGTTTGATCTGGAAATCCATCATTTTCTATAAGGCCGTCGTTGTCTCGATCAAACTGGTACATATATTCAATTGCAGCACAAACAGAAGGCCAGATATCAGTCGCAAAAGAATAGTCTCCTGTTGCAGCAAAGTCTCTATACACCTGAAGCACAAACTTCGGATTCAGATCCTTCCATTTACTCGTATCATGTATGTTATATGCATTCATTTCAAACCATGGGTCATGAGTTCCAAGATCGTGGGGTACAGCGCCCTTGACCTTTCGAATGCCACAATTTCCCTCTGTTAGGAACCGAACCTTTCTTTTATCTTCATATAGGACAGCTCTTGCAAAATCACGCTGTATACTGAGCTCAATTTTGGGAAATAGAGCCAGAAGAGCAAATGATGCATAGAAATGAACATCATAAGTGCACCACATAATATATTCTATCCCTTCCAAATATAGAAACCTACCAACATCCTCATCATCATTCACAGGCCCCAGCCAAGTACTAGAGGAATTGGCAATTTGGCTACAACCTTTGGACCCATTACCACCAGTCTTTTCAAGGTGGGCATGAGCCACCTCTTCTGTTTCAGTTATATTGCATTTGTTGCTCTCCACAGGTCCTTGCATATATTGACTACATTGTGCATCTGCATTTAAATTCCTGGATGAGCAAATAACAAGAAGGATGACACCCCCATACTTAATGCCCATAAGATGGCTAGGTTTAGCAAAAAAATAATATCTTGGAGCTAAAAATAGTTATATGTGTTACTTGGTTGAAGAGTGTCCCACTCCGGAAATTTATTTGTCCTTTCACATAGGAGGTTCCGAGGCCAGATGCTCGACCATAGGTAGCCAAAATTCCTTTGCGGAATAATTTGTGAAGTTTTATGGTCAGCCATACATTTATATAGATGAATTTTGCACGACTTCTAAAGTCCAAAGTAGATAACTAAATAATCTGTACTAATTTAATTAAACTAATCAATAATTTAATGGTCACATTTCAAATGTAATGAGTAACGACATTAATACTGATGCTGCCTCTGTTAGTTGCACATTAGACACGTGAATCTTTTTCTGCAGTGAAATTGTTTTCCTAGAACGCATCACCATGCACCAAGTAAATTTCATGGAGTATTATGCAAGTTACTAGATGCTTCAAAACAAAAAGAGAAGGAAGAAGATATTGTAAGTACCAATCCATACAGTCCCACCAGCAACCAAAAAGTATAGTTCATTAAAAAGTGTAAACTTGTACCTGAAAAATATTAAATCAATGATTACACATCTCCCATCAACAAATAAAAACACTTCACCAGTGACAATTAACTCATACAATCCCCACACACACACTTGTGTGAGAAAAAAGCAGTGAGCTTTGCAGCAACCTTATACAAGTTCGCTACATAGAAATGGCTCTCATAATTTTTCAAAGTTCTAGTCCTTGCATCCTAGTCATTTTTCTTTATGTTAGAAAACTCAGAGATCGCCACAAAGTTCATTACAGTTTTTCAAAGTTCTAGTCCCGATCTTTTTTTTTAATTAATACAGATATACACCATTACATTTCACTCTACTCATTTCCACGATTATTCCCGCGTAATCTTTACTTCCATTCTTTGCCTGTTTAACGGATAACACCGACCAAGAAGCAAGTTCTTGGGACAAAGATCCTTGTGCTTAGACCAACGGTTACTGTTAAACAAGTTTCATAAAGCCTCATTTCATGTAAAAGGATGTCAATATTTGCTAAATTTGGAAGAACCTAACCACATTACCATTCTGGAAGTTTTTCATCATTAAGTATAGGATGCTGCCATTTCTCAATTTCTTCTTCCCACAGTTTATAATCTGATCAAGATTTAAAAAAGTTGAATTAAAATATATCTTAATTTGAGCACGAAAAAGTTCCTCTAAAAAGATAAATGAATTAAGATTAGGAATTTTTAACCTGCACAACTTTTAATTCTTTAGCGCCTGTTTGGCAAGCGAAAGAGATATGGATTCCCTGATCTCTAAGATATCAAGCTCCTTTGTCAAGTGCTTAATGAAACATAAAAGAGGTTGAGACTTGATATCTCATGATATCAGAACCCCTCCAAAAGAGGATGTTTTGATATCTCCAGAAATTGGAAGATACCAATCTGAGATGTTTTGATATCTCCACCACTGGTTCACTACCGCCACTACCGGCCCACGACCACCCCTGCCGCCGCCGACCCACCACCAATTTCATCACTGACCCGTTGATGCGACCTGGTTTTCAATACCACCATGCTAACCGCCACCACCATCTAACAACCACCATCGCCCCTCCATCCAACCACCACAAACATTGCTAGTCAACAAGCACCACCGTCACCGGTCTTTCATCATCGGCCAATCACCTGTCCACCATCACCTTCTTCTTCATCGGCCAACCAGCACCACAAGTGCATTGCCACCCCACCACCACTGAATTGTTGGCTCTGACGCTGCCGGCTATGGTGGTGGGCCAAACAATCATGTTCTAGAGATAACACATTCCAAGTCTTTACCAAATAATCGTGTTTCATTTTATTCCTTTTCAGTTTTTCACCAAACAGTTTTGTTCCAGATTTCAAAGCCAATTCCATTCCTTCCAGAGATCAAAACTCATTTCATTCCAACACTATTTCCCTCACCAAACAGGACCTATAGTTGTACTATACTATTTCGCTCACCAAACAGAACATGTAGTTGTACTCTTCAATTTATAGTACATTTATTACAAACTAAACTAATTTAGGCGGGACATGCTCTACTAACTTGTCAATGTATCATGCACTATATCTTTAGCAGCCTTCTCAGAGGTGCCATAGTACTTCGTATACCTCCTGTCACAAGAAAAATATAATATTTGAGAAAACAAAAACATGAGGTCAAGATAGCTACACAGACGATGGTGAAGAACACAAGGAAAGCAGTCTATAATATATTTAACTGTTATTATGTACAGAATGAAAATATAACAAAACTTCGGATTAGCATTTCTATGAATTTTTGTTGTTCTTGATGGGCTTATTTAGGAAAAGTGGTGGTAAAAGAGAAGAACTCGCATCACTAAATGTCTAAATCAAAGATTCTCAGGGATGAACAATTTCTTTATCTGATAATTTTTATTCCAAAAACAGAAAGGAAAATCCGTGAAGAATCAACAACCCAGTTGGATCCTACAATTGTAGGGTCTCGGGAAGGTGCGTGTACATGGACCTTGCCTCTACTCTTAAGTAGAGATGTTGTTTCCAAGAGACCCCCGGCTCAAGCAGAAATAGCAAAGGTGATGCAAGGCAAGTTCTTGATAGCAGAAATACCTAAAATACGATTTTCCCTTCATGAATTTTACTTGAGGAGATGACCATGCTAAAGCAAATGCAACAGTGCATTTCCCGTGGGGTTCAACCCAGGTAGAAGCAGAAACTGCTGCACAATGAGTCTCGCCAGGTGACGATGGCATACTTAGGCCCTTGCTGAAGTTCTCTCGATCAAAATGCCCATCCTTAAGGTATTGACCAGTCAAAACAATGAATTAGTTCCCATCGCTGCAAACCACTAGAGGTAGGATTCGTGCAATAGAAGACAAATTGTACAATCAAATTGCTTCGATATGAATAACGATGTGAAGTTACCATGATAGTCCTATTATTACCTGTTCCATTTTACCCCACATATCTTTAGCTGTAATGCAACTTCCTTCAGTTAAACCAAAACATGGTAGCACCGAGATGCTCACATTTTGAGTCTCACATGCAGCAATTGCAAATGTGACAGGAGGATTATCTTTCGCGGTCCTGCAACCAACCAAATCACCAAAATTGTTAGTTTAAGCAAAAACTGATGTTGAAGCATTGATCTTAATAGAGGAAATACTCCGTACAATTTATTTTTCATACTTAACTTATGGGGAGCAAATATATGAGATGTAGTGACATAGAGCTATAATTGAACCCTAGAAATGCTAAGGAAACAGTAGTAAAGACAAAAATCACAAGCATCATCATTCTATTATAGATTTATTGTATTATTGTATCTCTTAGTTTACAATTAGTATTTAGTTTGGTGGAGTTGCTTTGCTTTAACAGTCGTATTTGTTTCCATATAGATTTCAGAAGGATTAATGAACTCTATTTAGAAACCATCCAATTGGAGAATAGTATTGGAAAACTAATAAAAAGGTAGTTTGACTTCCAATCAATAACCCTACAAAAGCTCATTTTATACTTTTGGAATTAAGTATATTTGTATACCTCGTCTTTTACCATATTAGATGGATCAGCCTAAATTAATGTATCACTAATACATTCTTGAAGATGTACGTATATGATGGATATCCGGACCCAATAGAAGTAAATGAACGGCCCAGTCCACAGGAGTGACTTGGGACGGTACGGAACAAGGGCTGGTAAACAGGAAACAAAAGGCCCAGTTCCCGTTGATAGGCCCAAACGTTTAACGAAGGCAGATTGTACAGCACCAAGTCATGGGAAGATTGGGGGTTGAGATGGTGAAGCACCACGATCGACGTGCGAGGGATAATGGCAAGGTTTATGTGCCCGTTATGTTTGTAATCATAATATAGTAAAAATAGAGGGAGAACCCTCCATTGTAAACCAAGTGAAAACACTGATATACACAAAGTAATAGAAAACCATCAAGATTGATTAATTATCGTTATTATTTGTTCTTCGTCACCATAGTTGTTGGCTAACTCCCATCATTGGTGCTCTCTTTGAGAGATTAAAAGTGAGAAATTGTGAGTTGAGAGCATGGCCGGTCGAAGAACGAGAAACTCTAGGCGAAGTGCTACTAATTCTCCGCAGTCGTCTTCCACGACAAGAGTCCCTGAACAGCCAGTCGCCACACAGCCTAGCGGCGTTGAAGCGGCATTAAACAACCTCACCAACATGATGGCAAATGTTATGGACAGACTTGAGACTCTTCTCAATCCCCCTGGGGTCCCAAGGTAGATTCCCTATACGCGGCCAGAACAGATGAATCTCATTCTGCAAGAACTCTATATTGCGGAGGAGATCGAACGAGAGAGAGAGGAGGTAAGAAGATATCTCGATGAAGAGTTGGCCCGGAACACCCGGGAATGCGACAGGCTAACTCGGGCAAAGACTCAGAACCCGATTACTCATCGGGCAGCCGGCCATCCGCGCCATGCGGAGACCGGGAACCCCTGGGGTTCAGTCTTTGACCAAATGACACAAGGGAGGATACCAATCAGTGCAAGAGTGGGGAAGAATCCAAAGAAAGCTCCACTCGGATGGGAGCCACCCCTACCGAGCCATGTTGAATCGTCAAACCAGGGTCCGTGCCGCATCGGGTCACGAGTCGAGCCGAGGCAAGTTGCAGAAGATGAGGCCCACGGCCAATTTCGTGTCCCGACATCCCAGCGCCTGGGCAGCCTAATTTGGGAATGGGGGATTTCCAAGATTTACAACGCCAAATTCAAGAGATGCAGTTGAGGTTCAACCACGGCCGGGTCTTTTTCACCCGGACAAATACCGCATTAGCCCTAGAGATATTTGCAAAACCATACCTGGTGGGATTTAAGGTCCCATTCGTCAGACAATATGATGGGGAATCAGGAGCATATAAATAGTTATGTGCAAATGATGATAGCCATGGATGCAACAAATGCCCTAATGTGTCGCTTTTTCCAAACCATCGATAGTAAGGTGGCGGACTGAGTCAACCATATTCCTTCCGGGTCAATCCGGACCTGAGACCAGTTCGGTTTGCGCTTCTTGGAGCATTTTTCTGGAAATTGCCGCCCAAAGAAGCATTTCACACACCTAGCGTCAATACGAACGGGGAATCTTTGAAGAATTTTCTAAGAATTTTCTAACACGTCGGAGGAAGGAGTCCAGGGAAGTAGAAGGTGCCGACGACAAGGCTCGCCTGACAATGTTTACTGCTGCTCTTCAAGAAGGGCTTCTCCACACGGATTTGAATACCCATCCCTCGGACACCTTTGAAGAAGCTATGGTCCGGGCCACGTCACCCTTGAAGAACGCAAGGAGGAAAAGAAGGAGAAACCCTAGGAGGAGGGGCAAAACAGGGAGAAGGGGAAGCCGCAGAAAGGAAAGATGTCGGGTTTCTCAGATGGGCCAAAGGGTTAGTCAGTCGGATCTGCTAATACCTCCAAATCACACAATACGATTTTCACCATCCCAATGGGGGAAGTGATGACGCACGCTGCCTAGCAAGGTCTTATGACCTACCCCACTCACTCCCAGAAGGTGTGTAATGTGGAGGAAACATGAAAATGGTGCGCGTATCACCGGAAGAATGATCATAACACGAAAGATTGCTACAGCCTGAAGAACAAAATGGCCCGGCTGATCTGGAGAGGAAATCTGAAGAAGTTTGCCCAGGACCATTCTGAGAAGGAAACCTAGAACTCTGAACCCAGGAGACGTAAGGAGGGTCAGGTTGCTAGGGTGGAGTTCCGGAATAAGAGACACATTGGATTAGAGAAGGAAGAAGATGAGGATTCGGAACCAACTCTGAATGGGCAAAAGAGGTACCAGGGGTGTAACTACATCATCGACGGAAATACGGGGGGAGATTCGGCCACCAGCAGTTAGAAGTGGGCGAATGGAGTCTCGGTGAACAAAGTTATAGCTCCGCAACCTGAAGGTAAGAGAACCGAAACTGAACCCATTACTCTTAGTTTCTCTAGTGCGGATTTACTACTGGAGTCCTCACACCCTGGTAATCACAATTGATATCATGGACTTGCTGATCCACAAAACATTGGAGGATACGGGAAGTTCCGTGAACATCATGTATATGGACACTTTCAAGGCCTTTTGGGGTTTACTCGAGAGGAATTGCTGCCCATTAAGACTCCCTTGACCGGGTTCACCAGAGATTCGATCGAGCCGGAAGGCGTTATCACCCTACCAGTGGAGGTACGTGACACTAAGGAGAAAAGGTCGTTGGACATGGAATTCGTGGTGGTTGGGATCATCTCAAGTACGAACGTAATCTTAAGCTGGAGGACCTGGAGTGCGTAATCTCACCCAGGCACTTATGCGTCAAGTTTCCAATACTGTTTGGGGTAGGTGTAGCCAAGGGATCCCAAAGAGTATCCCGAGCATAGTATCTCAAGGCAACCAAGGAGCTAGTCAAGTTCGACACCCAGGTGGGAGAAGTAACCTCTCAGTTGCTGAAGGCGGAGGAGAAACGCCCCCACGTGGAAGTGGCAGGAGATGTAGAAGAGGTAAGCTTGGAGCCGACCGAACCGGACAAGATGGTCAAGATAGGTAAGGGTCTGGGGGGCTGAACTCCGGTCCCAGGTGATTGTAGTACTTAGACATGCCCGGACTCGACCATGAGATCGCTGTCCATAGGCTGAATGCCCTTCTAGGAGCAAAACCGATTAATCATAGGAGGAGGCATCTTGCTCAAGAAAGGAGAGAGTTTGTCAAGAAGGAGGTAGCCACGCTACAAAGCATTGGACACATTCGAAATCCAGTGCCCAGAATTGTTCTCCAACGTAGTCCTTGCGCCTAAGCCTCCATCTTGGAGGATGTGTGTGGATTATACGGACCTAAACAAGGCCTGTCCCATGGATCTATTCTCGCTGCCGAACATAGATCAGATGGTGGATAAAACTGCAGGGTGCAAGTTGATGAGTTTCATGGATGCATTCACATGCGGAAAAGACGAGTTTCATGACTCTGGAAGGTTTGAACTGTTATCTGGTAATGGCTTTTGGTTTGTGGAATTCCGCAGCTACGTATACCCGGATGATATCGCATGTGTTCAGACCAGTCCTGGGCCGAATCATGGAAGCTTATGTTGATGACATGATCGTGAAATCAAGAAAAGCCTGGGACCACATCCAGGACTTGGAAGAGGTGTTCGGGATCATGATGAAGGTGAATCTCTGACTCACCCCTAAGAAGTGTACCTTTGCGGTACAAGGGGGGAAATTCCTCGAACACCTGGTGAGCCGAAAGGGGATTGAAGCAAACCAAAAAAGGTGAAAGCGATCTTGGAGATGGAACCCCCGAAGACAACCAAAGAGGTACAACGTCTAACTGGGAGGTTGGCTGCCTTGAACAGATTTTTGTCCAAACTGGGGGAAAAAGGTCATCATCTTTTAACCGTAATCAAGAAAAAGGCAACGTTCGAATCGACGCATGAAGCATTTGAGGAGTTGAAGAGGTACTTTGAGGAGTTGAAGAGGTACCTGGCCAATCCCCCCGTGTTGTCCAAACCTGAGCAAGGTGACACTTTGATTCTATACTTGCCATTTTAGACTGTGCAGAGAGCATAGTTAGAATACGAGAAGAGGACGGAGTACAGCACCCGGTTTAATATGTCAGTAAGACATTGAGGGATGCGGAGTTGAGATACTCATATCCGGAGAAGGCAATGTTGGCAGTCTACTGGACGACAAAAAGATTTTTTTTTTTTTTTTTTACTCCCAGTGGGCAAACCACCAAGCTCGGTGGGGTAAGGTCTACGCAACCCTTACCAAGTTTTATTAAGATATCATCGTCACCACAAAGTGAGGTGAGGACCAAACCGAGGCCTAACGCCAGCCCCTCATACGGAAGACAAACCTTCCGGGGGTTACAAAGGATAAGAAAGGGAGGGGAGCCTAGAACAAACTTGACCAAAGCTACAAAAAGGTCCTAACTAGAACAACTAGTCTACGGCTTGACCAAAGCCACAATAAGGTCCTAGCGAACAACAATACTAGATTACGGCATGACCAATGCCACAAAAGGTCAAGCAAAAACGAGCAAAGTACCACGTCAAACCACAC